GATGGGTTGCTGGACCTAGGACCTAGGGAATCGTCAGTGTTGCAATGGCTTCCCTAGTCAGATGTGTCTGAGACAAATGATTACATACCAGTCTCCAGTCGGGTGTTGCATGGCAAAGTGTAAAAGAAGGAAAAAAATTGATGAATAAATAAAAAGAACACAGAAAGAAAGGATGGTCACCTGACTGGTGGACATGGTAGTTTAAAACGCTATGGGTTCTTGCCATGAGAAAGATCAGTATAGCGGACTTTAGTTGAGGCGGGACATTTGCGTGGCAAGTTTGTAGATCCTCCTTTGTGAGTGCGAATTCTTAAGTATCATATGCGGCATTTTCCAGTCTTTGCAGTTTTTTTTCAAATTTGTCTGCTAAATCATCTGTGTGCATAATCTTTTATTACTCCGATTTGCTAAAAGGCATTATTTGTTAAGGTAATCAGTTATGAAATCCATATCATACTCGGTTGTCATACTTTTCACAAATTTATCCAAGACATTGTATACAGAAAATCTGTTTTTTGAAGGCAAGTAGATTTAAACATTAAAAGCTTTGCCTGGATTTGTTGGTCAGTCCTATCATTTATCTTGTAACCGTTTGATCCGAATTAATATGTAGAATTTTGTTTCGATTAAGTCTTTGCTAAATTCCTCCATCACGAGAAACTGCTCTCCTGTAAAATCAGTCGCACGCTAAATGTATTTTGTAGTTGCTGCCACCTTTCACCAAACCAACCTCTTCCAACAGATAAAGGATTGTCGTGATATATTGCAGCTGCATAAAAATGGTGCTGGTGGCTTTGATAAAATATTTTGCTTTCATCATTTTCGCAGGTGTAGGCGCAGCTTCACTTAACGTGGCGTCGAACTACAAGGAACCAGAGATCGGTGTTGTCTACCCCATTGGCCAGCTAGTGGACTCTGCGGGGGTAGACAGCGACCTTCTCTGCAACAAGTACTTAGCACACGGTACAGGTTAAATCGAGCAGCGATACCTTGCTTGGATCAACTTGCAGACCACTTCCTAGCGATTGCGATGAATTTGAACAAGATATTATTTTTCAATGTTAGCATAGTAAATACCACCAACAATAAATTTTCCGCAATCAGTCAATGTTGTCCTCGCGGTTATTGGAGGTGGACTCCATCTTGTTCAAGGATGCTGTGCGGTCAAATTCTCACGTACCCATATGCCGGTGCCAATTGTTCACTGGATCTGTAAAACGACAGGAACTGCAGTTAATTGCAATTGCGTAGATGTAATGACAAATACAGTTGTCTAATCGACCGAGCGGCAGAAGTTCTCGTGCTTCTCATCAGTTGGAACTAGTAGGAGCTTGTAGAGCGCATCCAAATACCTCTTCAGTGTGAGGCACTCGCTACTGTACTTTATGCTGCTCTCACATCTGGAGGCTCTTGTATTAGGAAATGGCCCAATGACTGTATTTTAGGTCTATTCACTATGCAAAGTGAAGCCAACTGCCACAAATTCCGCACCACAGTGCTCCACAATAGTGCCCTGACGAATCGATTTAAGGGGATGGCTGGCTTTTGAATGACTAGTAGTAAATATCATACAGTTAGGCAAAGGTAGGAATATAAAGACACACATAAGCGAACACTCACTACATTGCAATGTGTAGTCAAGACAGATTCGTTTTTCGTCAACAACGAATATTTTGCGCTTAAAAGCATACATGCTTTTAAGTAATTATAGAAATTCTCATTGGAATGGGGAGGAATTGATGCTACTGGCCCAATTTATCAAATTTATTTTAGAGCATTAACGTATGGACTTTAGATTGGTTACAAAAAAGCACCTCCTAGTAGAAGTTTGGAATGATTTTACCTATAAATTGTTGAGGGTAGATATCTTAATTGGAATATTTTGGCATGAACACAATCCGTTAAGAGAACTACCACTTTGTTTAAAAGACAACGAAATTCACCCTTCTTTAGATTTCACGTGATGCCTTTTTTGTGCACTGGCAGCGCATAAAAAATGGGTGATTAAAAATAACAGACGTAGTCCAGTGTATTTTAAATACGCGGTATTTTGGATAGTGTGCGTAGGTCAAGACAAAAAATCAGAACAAAATGATAAAGCATCTCTGATTAATTATTTGCAGGTGACTGTTTTCGGTATTCTTACCGCTAAATATTTACTTCGTTGCATGATGAATGACGCTGTTACACGTTTATTGTAGCGAAGTCTAAATTATCAGAGTTATTCTCTGTCAATTGATAACTTCATTGTAATAAGGGTAAAATCAGATATCAAAAAATCAAGCAGAATATATCTTTTTTTCCATATTTTTTAGGCATTTACTTGTTGTTAAATGGACGCTAGTTGGAAGCAATTATGAAATGGCGATATGAATTCTGCCGTAACTAAGAGAAATATGGATCTGCAGATGTCTTCAAACGTTTCTGTATTATTCAGGTGACGATGCCTGCAGCATGTTTTCCTTAAGGCGCAGGGTTGCTGCAAACTACACCTTTACATAGCGCCATGTTTTTTGCGAGAATATAAAAAAATCAGCCTGGATTCTATCGAGTTTCTAAACAGGGTATTAAGGAAATGCATATCGGAAAGCGAGGTCTTTGATGCTCATTCTTACCCTCTACTTCATTGCTAAATAAAATACCACTAAAATCGTGACCTGAATAACATGGTGGGAAGCTCACACGCACATTGAAGCCTTTGCTACGAATAAGTCACCTTTTACACCAATTCCTTTTACGCCTCTTTTACTAAGCAGTTAACTGGTCACATTAAAGAACGTCAATTTATGCACTTAAATACACTCCACACCTACAACTACAACTGCGTGTGCAACCAGTTTTTGCATCTGGCGCCAGCCTTGTTCAAGGACGACTTCGATTATTGACAG